TCTCGGCAAAGGAGAAGTGCTCACTAACACAGATTTAGACAGATTTGTGAACAATATTTGAGAGAAATAGGCCTTTTGTGTACATAGAAAAAGTCTTAGATCTTTGAGTTCAGCTTATGAAAAATGGGGGCAAAAACAAAAGTGTTGCGTTTATAATTTTGTTCAGTTTAATATATAATTGTAATAATAATAATCATAGTCATTTAATTGAATGTTTGTGTATATATAAACATTCAATTAAATTACACACACACACACACACACACACACACATGCCACTGAAAACACACACACACACACACACACACACACACACACACAAATGCTTGTTATTTTGATAAAATCATTCAAGATATTATCAATATAATATATAATTGTAATAATAATAATCATAATGTCACTTAATTTAATGGTTGTGTATATATAAACATTAAATTAAATTACAACATTAAACAAACTATAAAACATTAAGTAAATACATTTTTAAGTCACTAATAAGCAAATTAGTGACACTGACCATGTGAAATCAATGTTTTTACATGCAGCTTAAGTGTTGCTCTTATTAAATAAAGGAGGAAATAATCAAATACTGTGACAATGAGATTTGTGCTAATTTTATTCACTTAATTGTTTATGCTGATAATATAATTTATTAATTTGTATTAATTTGAAATCACATTAAATTGCAAAACAGAGCATTTTTACAAGTGGTGTCAGACTTTTGGATTCTATGGTATCTACCTGCCACTTTACATCTATAATATGTCCTGTATAACAAAAAAAAGGTCAGTTCAAGAAAATATATTAATCTAAAAGTAAAATATTCAAACATGAAACTTAGCAATTCTTAAATGATTAAACTTACTTTGCAGTGACATCACCACTGTCCAGCCTTAATTCAACCTGTGATGAAACATGGAGAAAAGTTTTAGACTGCATAGAGAACAAGAGGGATGCACTATGAATGCAGTGATCTGCAATGTGAAGTGACAGCATGCACCAGTTTAGAGGGAAAAGCACCACTGGGACTTAAAAATAGTGAGCAGGCAATGCTATTTATAAAACTACTGCATAGAACGATTGCACAAATCATAATAGCTTCCCCAAAGTGGAATTTCAATGCTTCATTTGTAGTTCACAGTCTGAGCAGGGCAACTTGATGGGACCTACAGTTTACAGTTTATATTCTCAAGGACTGAGAGTCTCAAGAGTCTGTTTTTAATACGTGCATCGTTCATGTTCATAGCACAAACCACAGGCAGAGATATGACTGGAGGTGAGGGTCGTTCAAGAGGCATGATGAATAAAGACGACACCTTCATCTGAACCCACTTCAGGAGCAAAGACGGCTCTGAGCCATGAATATAGTGGTAGAGAACACTCCATATGGAATCGATATGGAAAAATCATGAATGACACGTTCACAAGAATGTCACCATCCTTGCAAACAAATAGTGAGAAAAGTTCTGTATTCATGCATTCACAATATTTTATTTCTCATCAAATCTGAACCTCAACTATTCAAACCAGGAGGGTTTGAGCCCCCATTTAAAGCTGCAATCCATCATATTGCATTTACTATTTAAAGAGCAGGTCATATGGTATTTTAAAGTGTCCTAATATTGTGTTGGAGTCCCCTACAACAGGTTTAAATGCATCTACGGTCAGAAATCATTGTAATTTTCTCAAAATATACATTTAATATTAGAGTCATTTGCCAATGATTTCGAAACGATTCGTTCCAAGCAAATTCGGAGCAAACCCCTCCCTTCCATAAGACTATTCTGCTCTGATTGGTCAGCTGGCCAAGCCTGCTGCGATTGGCGCAGAGAGGAGTCCTTGAGCAAGTTAGCGAGCGCTACCATTGGCAAAGCACCTTTGCATAAAACAATAATATAGTGCTGCAATCCGTTCTAATAATAATGACATAAAATACAAAAACACGTATGCAAGTGAATCGTATCCACAGCTTAAGTTTAGCTGCTGAACTGTGAACACTTAAAACAATAATGGTGGATATGTTAGCCGAGTGCTAACGTGACTAATTGATGAAACAATACAGTTTGTAAACCAAAATATGTCTACTGTAATGTTTGAAGAACGACAGACAAAAGACGCTCTGTGTCTTAACTTTTAATCAGAACAGCTGTATCACAGGCGCCGCAGCCTAACTAACTCGCTCGTCTCTTCCGCATTAACCCTATAACTGCCGGTGCAGCAAAATAAACAGCAATTTCACAATGATTATAGAGTCTGTGTGCTACACTACATTCTTTATTATTAAACGAAGTAATTAGAACAACGTCAGTCTACATTAATCGACACATACTTAAGAAATAGTGGGTTCACAGCGAATTATCAGAACTACTTCAGTAAGACAGTAATATTGTGCTTACCTGGAAACTTAAAGCTGCACTAGGTGTACATCACATATTAGCACAAAAACTTGATATTTTGAGCACTCAATTGAAAATGTAAAAATAACGTATCAATCGTACCTACAGGTTGTGGTTCGGAGAGCTTGTTAGTCCAAATTAAGCAAAGGGATTGAACATTTTGAATAAACCATTGTGGATTGTGATATCTTTTTGTAATATGTTAAAGGGGACATCGGATTCAATTTTCACTTTTTTATTTATTTGTTTTTTTTTTTTGCATTTTAGTTAGGTTTCTGGCATGTCTGCCAGCTCAGAGAAGTTTAAAAGAAAACACGCAGCCAGTTTGTTATGGGCTGTCTGAGTCTGAAACTGTGTCACCCATAGAGCTGTTTCAATTTGCAGCCAGTTTCTACATAGATAGTCTTACGTAGCCAGACCTTCAGACTGACGGCAGAAGGTCTGGGATCCATGGCCGCTTTGAATGGCCAAGGACCGCCCAAGAGGCCATATGACTGACAGGTATAGCAACCAATCACATTTCGTTTTGTGCCACGTCATGTTTAGGTGCGTAGAAATGTCCCCACAATAACAGACCAGTGTGTAAAACTCTTGGACGTATTTTAAAGAGACTATGCTGCGAACTTTACATATTTCACATACTTTTGAAAATTCAGCGTTTAGCTGATCCTGATAAGCGCTTATTGTCACAGTTGTAAACATGACGGCTTTCTTCTTCCATGAAGGGGTTTGGCGTCACGGCATCTTTGGTGGAACGTTAAAGAGCAGGTCATATGGTATTTTAAAGTGTCCTAATATTGTGTTGGAGTCCCCAACAACAGGTTTAAATGCATCTAAGGTCAGAAAACATTGTAATTTTCTCAGAATATGCATTTAATATTAGAGTCAACTCTACTGATGAAACAATACAGTTTGTAAATCAAAATATGTCTACTGTAATGTTTGAAGAACGACAGACAAAAGACGCTCTGTGTCTTAACTTTTAATCAGAACAGCTGTATCACAGGCGCCGCAGCCTAACTAACTCGCTCGTCTCTTCCGCATTAACCCTATAGTGCTACTTTATCTGTATCTGATTTAGAATGAGCAGAAATCTGTGAGAAATATAACGACCCAAAGACAAAAGAACTGATAAAAAAGCTGTTATAGGAGCAATAGCCGTGTGGGCAGTGCTGTGTCATATGCCATAGCTGTGCACAAGGTGTTTATCACAGCTCCAGACTTATTTGTTCATTAATGACATCATCAGCGACTAGTCGACTTCGACTCGACTTTCATCACATAAAAGTCGACTTCAAAAAATCAGAAGTCGTTCAACCCCTACAGGGTGTGCTTCGGAGAGCTTGTTAGTCCAAATTAAGAAGATTAGAAGCCAACGAAGATAAAAGCCAAGATTAGAGAAGCAGTCCTTGGTAAAATGACATGCACACAACAAAAGGTTCGAATTGTATTTCTGTGGTATCCTTGAACACAGCGTCTTCTCAACATGATGTTTAAACACACTAACTAGCGGAAGTGTTTGTGTGCAGGTCAGACTCTGTTCGTATTTCACGGGCAGGTGGGGATTATGCAAATGTGTTACCCAGTGATGTGTACCGGTAACAGGCAAAAGATTCGAAAATATGACGACTCGTTAAGGCGATTCAGAATCAACTCTCTCTTTTGAGAGACAATATCTTTATTTATCATGCACTTTTTTGATTAACAACTTTGCAGATTGTTTTCATTTAAGGATAGCTACGTTATAAACTGCAAAAGAGATATTTTTCAAAAACCCATATGACCTGCTCTTTAACTATAATATTTATTAAAGCATATAGTTTTACATGAATAACACTGAAAATAACTGTGATAAGTGATTAAAAATGTATAGTGATTATTAATAAATACATTTTTTTATCAAAATAAAAATATTAAAATAAAATCTGTTGTTTAATTATAATAGTTACTATTAAATTGTATAGTTTTTACATTAATAACCCCAAAATTAACAGCAATTATATAATTTAAAATGTATAACAACAATTATAAAAGAACGAAATTGCTTGTCATGCGTAGCAGTTGCTTTCTTTAGAGCCCCACATAAAATACCACTAAAAGTAATGCATTATTGAAGGACTTAGTTTTAGCAGCAGTTACAATTCATTGGCTTTTATGACAACTTCTTGACCTTTATAAAATGGTGTGATAGAAAGAACATTTCGATTTCTGACGGCCAATATCTTCATATCCTAATGCACAAAAAAAACTCTAGGTACAATTAGATGCTCTCTCTCATATTAGTGATGCAGAAATGAATACCAGGAGCTGAATTTTAATAAGAATATAAAAACACTTGCAAGAGCGTATCATCAAAAAATGAAACAAGAAAAGACCATTTCTTTCATAAAAGCAGTGACTAATCCATTTTACCTCTTTGAACTACTTCCTTATGGTACCACATCTTACAAGATCTTATTTTTTTCCTTTTTTTTCCGTTTCCTTCTATTATTGTGATTTAAATGGAATCCAGCTTTAAAAGGAGCCTTTGTTTAGTATTCTCTCCTATATCTTGCTCTTGCCCTTTTCTTGTCTTCAGCTTCTCTTAATAAAACATTCAAGTATGTGTACAGTTTGCCGCTGTCCCTCAGTTTCATACAGCATATGGGGATTTGCTAACTGCTGTTATGACACCACGTGCCCTGCATTTTCCAGACTCATTAATCACATCAACATACAAAACCACACACACACTGAGTCCGCCTGGTCAACTGTAGTTAGATTCGACACTCAAGTAGTCAAAAAAACACCTTAAAACTGATGAAAAGAGGAGCCACAACACTGGAAAAACTTTTAGCCTAGTAGGCATTAAATACCCAATAATTATGCATGCACTGATTAATTAAAAAAAAAAAAACGTTTTCTGGGTTAACAAGGCTTAAGGCGTTGTGCATCGTGTCTTCCTTATTCCACTGAATTTTACATCAAATTACCATGTTTAATAGGCACAGTTCATCCAAAAATTAAAAGGTTGATATGAAGGTTGTACATCGTTGATTACAAAAGGTATTGTACTGTACAATGACTTAAATTTCCTAAAAAAAAAAAAAAAAAGTTTCAGAAGACTTTAAAGAAATAGCTTACCCAAAAATGAAAATTTGCAGAAAATGTATTCACACTCAGGCCATGCAACATGTAGATGAATTTGTTTCTTCATCTGAACTGATTTAGAGAAATGTAGCATTACATCACTTGCTCAACAATGGATCCTCTGCAGTGAATGGGTGCCGTCAGAATGAGAGTCCAAACAGCTGAGAAAAACATCACAATAATCCACAAGTAATGTACACGACTCCAGTCCATCCGTTAATTTCATGAGAAGCGAAAACAACAAAACAAATGCATCATCAAGGTGTTTTTCCATTGGTGAGCAAGTGATGTAATGCTAAATTTCTCCAAATCTCTTCCGATGAAGAAACAAACTCATCTGCATTTCGGATGGCCTCAGGATGAGTACATTTTCTGCAA